CCCCCCCCCCCCCCCCCCGGAGTATAAATTCATGCAATCCAATCTTACCCTTTTGTTCTCTGGCAAGCTGATCTGCTTGGTCCCAAATTTCAGTGGCATACAGAAAATTGGAAGTAACCTGGACGTAGCTGGCTGCCATCTGATGTATCCTCTGTGGAATAGTAACTGAAGAAGCAGTCCCTGAAGGGTTGGTTGACCCTGACGAGTAATTTCCTGAATTCCCTGGAGACAGTTTCGGTGAAACTGGAGACGGCATACTGACAGGTTTGCTAAAAATTAAAAAAGGAAAGTTTCTTTACTAACGCTTGCAAAACAGAAAAACGTATCTATGGAAATAGTTACAAAATTCAAAACCTGCATTCTGCTATTTACTGTAGAAATACAATTTCAACATTCATGCCCTGAGTTATCTGGTAGCTGTAGCAGAAACCCATGTAGTAGCCAGTATTAAACTTCCTTTAAAGTAAACACCCTGTCTAAGAGGGTAACTGAACGTAAAGAGTACTAAGCACTCCTTGTTGTTGTTTTTTAATTATTTTTTATGTTTTATTGTAATTTCTTTGATTGTTATAAGCAGCCCAGAGTTGTTGAGTCAGGCAGCATACAAGTTCTGTCTATCTAATTTTTCAGAACACACAAACAAGTATGTGTATGTTTATGTTTATTCTGAAAAAATGACTTATGATTGGGGTCCATGTGTGCAATCTCTTATTTAAATCATCCAACCCTGTTTATAAGTGTTTAGTCATATTATTAGTGTTACAATGATACTATTACTGCTCTGGTAGATGATATAATTATGCAATAAAATCCCCTTCCCCTTTATTTATGAAAATTTGACAGAAGTCTGCATAAGAAGTTTGAATCTATCAGGAGAAAACAGAAAAGTTCTGCCATATAAAACATATAGGAAAGATTTACCCACAAATTAATTAAAAAGTAAAGACATATAGAACAACTGCTTTTATAATGCTTCAAAACTGGATCTGAATTTCAGATATCCATCTCATGTTTTTACTATTTAATTCATGCCTTCATGCAAAAGACACATTAATGCATTACATAAACACTTACCTTCCCATACCAGGTGATGGGGCTTGAGAATTATTATAGGAATTCTGTTCAGGAAAAACCCACAAATTTTAAAATGAATATAGATGCAGTATTATACATTCTACAATAACAAATTTCTAAAAATCAAATAAATACATGAAGTGCTTTAAAATAGGCAATTAAAAAAATTACAGCACCAGGAATAATTTGAGCAGGAATGGAAGTTAAATCTAGGCATAATTACTACTAAAATGAAGTGTAAAAACATCTGCATAACTAAGTGACACAATAAACTTTCCATAAGCATTATTGCTGAATTATATATCAATGACAACATCTATTTAGGAAAATTGAAAAGATAAACAATAGTTCAAATTACAAGTTAATACATTTTTTTTTAAAAAAAACATGTTTTTACCTTCAAATGTTCAGTCAGTGTCTTGGAATATTTTAATGCACTCTCCTTCTTCAGCTTGAAAAGTCTTAAATATAAGAGGGACTGGCATCTGAGACTAATAAAAAGGAGAATGCTACTACTTTAGAAATTTGCTAATAAAAGATCCTCACTGATCTTTAATTTACTTTAAAGTAGAAATTACACTTATACTGGGATTCTTTAAAAACCGGATTTTTATTGAAATAGTTAAATTTCAATTTTTTTTTATTATTATTAATAAAGTAAATAATTATTTATTTTAGATAGTGATTGTGCTGCTTCCAGTCTAAGCAGATATTAAACTAGAATAGCATGATATGCTTTATCTTACCACCCACAAAATGAAAGTCTGCCAAATACAATTTGCCTCGAGCAAATTCCCATCTTTCTAATTTAGTTCTGAATACATACCATAGTACTGCTAGCCTTTTGTCTGCAGCAGTTGCATCTGGTGCTGAGCAATTCTTTAGCTTCATAGTGTACCTTCAACCAAAAAAATAAGACAAATAATGTTTTAAAAACTCTGTTTTTTCACTTTTATAAAAAAATTATTCCTCAAAGAGCTTGTTGGTTGAGCTTTCTTCAATTTCTTAAAACCATATCAAATATAGCAAAATACACTGTACAAAGTTAAGAGTTAAGAAAGTGTTTAAAATGGTATTTAGATTTTCATTAACTATTTCTATATAAGATTTAATACCTTACTTAGGCCACAAACTAAACAAAAACAATAACAACCCAATGATATCCTGTTTTACATCTCCACTCCCAGCTAGCAAGGCAATGTAGTTCAGATGTTGACCCAATGCCTACAGCAGGCATGCCAAACTGCCGGCCCATGGGCTGGATGCGTCATGCGGAAACCGCGGCCACCCCATTGCCGGCAATGGGGGAAAAGTCGCGATACGTCACGCAACATCACGAGTCTGACATGCCTGGCCTAGAAGCTGTGAGAATCTGGATGGGAGGAATCAAATTCAACTTAACCCTAGGAAGATGTAGCGGGTCTGGGTTTTGGTCCCCTTGGATCTGGTGCCATATCTAACTCTTGCTGGGGCTGCTTTCCCCTGGAGAGACCTGGTGCACAATTAGGAATGGAGGCATTCTAGACTACAGTGCAGGCTGAAGGAATAAGTGGGAGTCATGGCTAGGGGAGCTTTTGGACAGATTTATCTCATTCAACAATAGGATAGATTCATCTCATGCTGCAATTGCACCCATTCCTAGACAAGAAGGCCTTGTTTACAGTCACTTACTCCCTAATCATTTCCCAGTTGGATCACAACGTGATTTACATGGCTTCCCTTGAAGACAATCTGGAAGTTACAACTGGTCTGGAATGCAACAGCATACAAAGTTCTGGGTGGTTTGCCTGCACTTCTCCACTGCTCACCAGTTTCTTTCCAGGTGCAATTCAAAGTGCTTAAGTCAAAGCGCACCATATCAGATAAGGGGGGCATGCTTGCTCCAGATCCCTTAAAGCGGGGTTCTTCAAACCTGGCCCTTTTATGACTTGTAGACTTCAACTCCCAGAATTCTTCAGCCAGGCATGCTGGCTGAGGAATTCTGGGAGTTGAAGTCCACAAGCCATAAAGGGGCCAAGTTTGAAGAACCCTGCCTTAAAGGTTGCCAACTGCTGGGACCTAGAAAGCAGGCCATTACCCTCCCTGCTTTCCTGAAGGATTTGAAAAACTGGTTCTTTCAAACGTTGAGTTAGGATGAGACTATAGTCTGGTCAATGTAAATATTGCTGAATGGTTAGTTTTGGGCTGTTGGGAATTTTTGATGTTGATCTGATTGACTCCTTATGTTTTTATTTCTCTTTCTGTGAACCATCCAGGATTATTGTACAAAAAAAGCTGCCATATAAATCTTACCAACAAATGGTGGTAGCTGAAGAGCACCTCTAGAATCAATTATTAATAGTATATCAATTAGGGGTACAATTTCTCTATTCTGGTAATTATACTTAATTGTTTATATAACTTACTTGATGAGCTCCACAGTTTCAGAATACATAGGGAATGGGGACTTGGATTCCTGAGCGTTTTTCTCCAATGCATTCCCACATTCAATAAATGAAACCACAGCATCAAGGTAATACACAGCTTTTTCAAACCTGTCAGACTAAAAAAAAAAAGGGTCTTACATGGAGATTTATGACAGAGTCAAAGAATTAAAAGGATTCAATCAGTAGACAATATGTTTTTCTTACCAATGCATCAGCATTATGTTTTAATTTCTTTGCTTCTTGCAAGTAGTGATCTGCTGAGTAGCTTCTGCAACATAAAATTACAAAATTTCTAATCTCTGTTGCTCTGCTTATTTCATTATTTGTGTATATTTGAGGATGGAGTACAAAGAGTATTTATTTAAAACATTTATATAGCTACCCATCTTCCAACAAACTCTGGGTGGCTCCCAAGGGAAAAAAATCCAAAATAAAACATAAAAATCATATTAAAACTATTAAAGTCATAGAAACGTGGTGGCGAACCTATGGCACGCATGCCACAGGCGGCACACAGAGCCCTCTCTGTGGGCATGCATGCCACTGCTCCAGTCCTAGGCCTTCAGCTGGGTTTTATAAAACCTTTTCGCTTTAGGCCTCCGTGTGCAAAAAAAAAAGAAAAAAGGGTTCAATCAATCAATCAATTTCAACTTCTCGCGGGGAAAAAAAAATCTCGCGAAGTTGGAATTGATTGATTGAACTTTTTGGTCCCATCCAGTCTGCCATTACCACCGCAGTCATGCCCACCCAATGGGCCACACTCACCCAATGGGCCACGCCCACCTGGCACCCGACCATATATAAGTGGGTTTTGGGTTGCAGTTTGGGCACTCGGTCTCTAAAAGGTTCACCATCACTGCCATAGAACATTAAAAACAAAAACCCGGCGCCAAATTAAGCTTCTGACATGCAGTCACCTTATCCTGTCTCAGAGATGATGGGAAAAGCCCACTTTTCCAGCTTGTTTTAGAAAGCTAGGTGGGTAGAAGCCTGCTGAACCTCAGGGTAAACAGTGTTCCATAGGACAACGGCTGCCATAGAAAAGGCACACTTTCTAATTCCCATAAAGTGTGAAAGTTTAACAGAAGGGATTAGGAGCAGACTTAAATATAATATTTAACAGAGACAGAATAATTAAAAAAATGAAATGGAGAAGCCTGCCTAAATTGTCACTAATTTGGCATGGGAAAGACTCTTCTTGGGTTGCAAAATTATATACTGATGCCAGGAGCAATAAACATTTCTGTCTATGGAGATTCTCAGTTATCCAGGTCATGATTGTCCTAAAGACACATTTTTTTTTATTTAAACTTTTTTTATTTTTCCCAACTCTCCCCCATACATATACCGTGATATTTATCACGTGTTAACATGCATTCTTTTTACATTCTTATCTATCAGATACTTTTAATAAAATAAAATAAATACATACACATACATTTGGTGTTGCTCGCCCATTTCCCCTTTCACTGTATCCACACCCCTACTCTTTCTTCTCTACCTTCTTTCTCCCTTTCTTCTCTTTCTTCCCTACTTCCCTCTTCTTCCTCTCCTCTCCTCTTTCCTTCACCACTCCCCTCCCATTTCTCCCCACTTCTCCTCCTCTTCTCCTCCAACCTTCCTACTTCCTTTTCCCCCTCCTTTACTCTCTTCTCTCTCTCCTCTCCTTTCTTCCCTCTCATCCCTCTTCAGATACAATTCAGGGGTAATGTCCGAGCAGCTCCTCTCTCTAAATTTCCCTATCTGTATTATATATAATAAGATTGATTTTCTATTACTATTTATCTGACCTTCTCGGTATGTACTTCTATAAATATTTATACGACCTCCGGTTATGTCGCTTGGGTCTCCCTCCTTATCTCCTCCTTTTTCTTTCATCTAAGTTGGTGTTAACTATCTTTTAACCATGTTCTCTTTTCACCCAATCATAAAAAATTCCCCAAATTTCATAGTACTCTGAACTCTGTCTTATCTTTAATTGTCATTGTTAATCTATTCATTTCTGCACATTCCAGTATTTTCCCAATCACCTCTCCCTCTGGGGGGGCTTTCAGTGCTTTCCAATTTTGTGCAAACACAATCCTGGCTGCCATAATTATATGAATAATCAAATATGTTTTCTCTTTATTATATTTCCCTGGTAAAAATACCCAGCAGGAATATGTCTGGTCTTAGTTCTTTAGGTTGTTGTATCATCTTTTCTATCCATGTTCTAATTATATTCCAATAAAGACGCAAAATGTCTTCAAAGAAAAACAAGAAAGTCCAGTTGCCTCTTGAAAATAAACATAATACTATTTAGGATACTGTGCCAGAAACTAGGGGTGAAAATAGTCACCTTCCTGCCTTCAAAACAAACACAAACCGTCTTATCTTCTTCAAGATATAACTCCAGTCTAGCAATGTTCACTCTTCCCCAATCTGCACTGATACAATGCAGAGCTTTTAGAATACTGGTGTAAATGGACGATGTTCCTGTATTGGTGCTTAGCATTAGATCTTGTGTACAGCAGATGTACATCTATACATCTCTGCGAATAACAGATATACCGGATCAAGCTTTGACTCGACTGCCTGCAATTTCATTAATGTGTTCAGGCTGAATATACAGTAATGAATCTGGGTCAAATTTTGCAAGATTGCCACAGAAGAAAATATATATCTGAGGATGGAAAGTCAGGTTCAAAATACCACTCAGCTTCCAGGAACAACCTTATTCATCAGCAATTTTTAAAATATTACAAAGCAACAATATTTTATCATATTGATACCCCAAAAAATGTAGCACTACAAAACTGGAATGCCCCTCCAGATTTTTTATAGGAAAAACAGGCCAGACCTGTTAATGGAACAAATTAATGGAACAAATCTGACATCAGGACTCAGAACAAGCACAAAACAGTAACAGAGCATTTTAACCTCTCAGGACATTCTACTATATATTTCAAAATTAAGTTTAGCAAGAAAAAATTAAGTTTTCCAGCACGAGACAGCTGGACCTCGATATTAATAAGTCACTAGCTAACTCTTACATTAATTAAACCAATCCCCACATTCTATGAAGCTCATGAAAGCTTATGAAACGTGTTCATCTTAAAAAGTGCTCGTAGATTCTTTTTGATTTTTGGCTATAATAGATTGTCCTATAACTTCTTATCAAATTACAGTATAGTTTATGAAAAAAATAATATGAACTATACCCAGATGTTTCCGTAATTTTATGCATGCATCCTAGCAACAAAACCGTGCATCTGGTTTTCATCTTTGTTCTCACCTGTCATCAAATACTAGCTTTGCTCTTCGGGACTTTGAACTATCGGAACTTGTGGCGGAGGCAGAAGGACAATTAGAAGAGTTATTTAAAACCTTTTCCTTGGAAAAAAGAGAATTCAGTTAATTAATACACTGTTTGGAGGGAAAGGCATTGCAATTGCCAAGTTCAGGCTAGTTAAATGCAGCCCAGGTGTTTGCCCCAAATCTAACTTGACAAACAAAGCTGTTAACCATAATAAATTAAAAACAGAAAGCAGATGAGATTATAATAATGGTGTTATTATAATTTGCATGAAGACTGTTAATACAATAATTATTTTGCATCATTTAATACTTTAATTATAAACCTTTGTTGTCTCTGTAATAGTATACTAACTTATGTTGAGATAGACTATGCAACAAATATTTGACAAAAAAATCAGCTTCATCCCATTTAATTCTGTTTCCCCCCCAACATATGTTGTATTTAAAAAGCGTTTTATCTAAAAATAGTAGTAGAATTTGCAAAATGGACAAAAAAAATCATATTCTGCAATGCCTGAATTTATTTCATGGCAAGCTGGGATGGAGAGATGGAAGTGGGTGGCTACCAATATGTTTGGCCAAATCTTTATATCCTTGGATTAAATATTCAACAATTTAACTGAAAATGTAAGCTTATTTAGGAATATCAACAACATTAATTGGGATCATATCAATTAGCTTAGCTCTCAATATTATCTACACAAAGCTGATCTGTTCCCCCAACACCTTAAACTCAGCTACAGGGAAGGGGTCTTTGGGCATTTACGCATTTAGAGACTCAAATGATGCAATGCTCCAAATCACATGGATGTACCAGTTTTACACAGAGGGGGCATGATGTGTAAGGCAACTAGGTATGTGCCTCTGGTATTAGGAATAAGAATAGTAGCAGGCATGAGTTTTAGTGCAGGACATTTTTTAAAAAATAAAGTTTATATATGCTGAATTTCACACAAGATTTAAAGACTCCAAAAACAAGCTATAATCAGTAATTGAAGTTTTTTACCTTTGTTTCTTTAGTGTTATTTGAAGCCTTTCCTTCTGTCTTCTTTTGCTTAGATGAGTTACTTTTAGTGCTGCTATTATCCTTGTTACTATTACTGCCTGATTTCAAGGAAGAAGACTGACTGATCGTCCTTTTCCGAGATCCATGCTCTTGCTTTGGATCTTTTGCAACAACTGAGGTTGTGGCTGGAGATGGGAGAAGATCCTTCTCTTTAACAGTGCTTTGCTTTGAAGACCTGTCCCCCCCAAAATAAAATAGGAAACAGAATTAAAGATTTTGTACTTAATTTTGTGTAAAGGATTTTTTTTTGCTTTTGCACCATTAGCTCCAAAACAATAAGCTTATTTTTATCAAACTATTATATTTGAGAAAGAGAATGGCTTTAGTCTGACACAATTATCTCAGATTGAGCAAAAGACCAGTTGCAATATCCAGAGATCATATCAATGGGTGCAATCCCAAAACATCTGGAGCACCACATGAATACCATCGGCATTGACAAAATCACCATCTGTCATTTGCAAAAGGCAGGCTTACTTGAAACGGTTTACATCTTGCAATGATACCTTGCAATGATAGCAAGGAGACAGAAAAACAGCAGAGGCTTAGAAAGCATTTTTTAAAATTTTGCTCCTATACATCAAGTTAAGTAATAACCAATATATAAAAGCAGTACAGATATTTTTTACATAAATTGTTTTTCTTTTAATGTGTTATAATATAAACTGCCCAAGAGCTTTGACTATTGGGAAATTTGAAAATAAGAAAAAACAAAAAAATAAAACAAAGGGTATAGAACAGTGGTTCTCAACCTTTTTAATGCCGCGACCCCAACCGGTCGTAAGTCGAGGACTAAACCGGTCGTAAGTCGAGGACTAAACCGGTCGTAAGTCGAGGACTAAACCGGTCGTAAGTCGAGGTCTACCCAACCGGTCGTAAGTCGAGGACTTTCCCTGCCCGGGAGCGCCGCGCATGCATGGTTCCGCCCCCTGCGCCGGCCGAGGCATAGCTGGCAAGCGGCAGAGACGGAGCAGGCCGACCACCAGCTGGCCCAGCCCAAGGGAGGTAAGGCACCCGCCGGAAAACGGGGAAAAAAATGGCGGACAAAAAAATGGCTGACAGCCTTGCTTGGCGACCCCCGTGAAATGGTCGATCGACCCCAAATGGGGTCCCGACCCACAGGTTGAGAACCACTGGTATAGAAAGTTCCAGGGGCATCATAGCAGCTGGAAGCACTTTGTTGGAAGTCTCCAAATAAAGTATTCTATAATCCAGAAAGATGCACATGCCCCAATATTTGGAATAGTGTCTCTTAAAAATGTTCTCCCAAAGATTTAAAAACTGCAGTGGAAATATTAAAGGTGTAAAGAGATAAACTTGGCACCAGTGCTTGTTCAAATGATACTATATAACTGAATTTTTAAAAAGTTATTTGTCTGATCCCTGGATGAAATGAAAACTAGAAACTGAGTACATAAGAACGTGCTTACACCATATGCTTGTGTACTATAGCTTGGAAAGTTACTCACTCTCTATTACTAGAAGTCTTGTGGGCTGAAGAAGGTTTTTCTTCCAGTTTAGTTTTCTTGCTTTCAGTGCCTCTGCTGTCTTCTGCGTTCTGTGACAGAACATTTGAGAGATAATTACCAAGACAAAGTTTAATAATCTCAACTATACGGATTTTTTTTATAAATCATCACAACCCTTAAAGAATTGCCACTGACAACATTGGGATGGTATGAATGCGGAATGGGAGAACTTGCCACAGCCAACTCACCAAGGGTCAATTCACCATGGGACAAGTCACCACGGCCAACTCGCTGCAGGACAACTCAACAATTCGATTTCAATATTTAAAATAATCAAAAAAAATTGTTTAATAATCATTCGTATTTCATTTTGTCCTTTGTTTGGCATCACTTCTTTAATTATTCTATTCCACCATTTCTTGATATGAGTGTAAAGTCTTGTCCCATGGCGAGTTGGCCATGGTGAGTTGTCCCGCAGCAATTTGGTTGCAGTGAGATGGCCATGGCAAGTTAGCCATGGCGAGTTGGCCGTGGCGAGTTATCCTAGACCAGAGGTCTGCAACCTTGACAACTTTGAAGACTTGTGGACTTCGGCTCCCACAATTCCTCAGCCAGCTATCCTGGGAACTGAAGTCCACAAGTCTTAAAGTTGTCAAGGTTGCAGACCCCTGCCCTAGACCCTGATAAGTGATAACAATCTTGGCAAAGCAGCTTTTTTCAATAATTGTGTAGCTGGGCAAGAGCAAGGAAGCAAAAATACCTCAGATTTCAAGAAGGTAGCTTTAATGCTCCCCTAGGGTAAATATAAATTCTTAGAAATTATATTAGGTATTTCCCAGTCTCGTTTTCCGTTATACTAAGGCAAAATTTCTTTGAATACTATGAATGTTTTTTCCCCATATTTCTCCCCATTTGGGCTGAGTTGCTTTTTATGAAGCTGGCATCCAACTTATTAACTGCTATTTCTTCCATTTTTTACCAGCCTACTACCCATAATTCCTTACAACTGTTAAAAATAATATTCCTCACAAAATTATAAGTATATAATATACACTGATGATGTATGATGAGAAATACTGCTTAATTTGATGAATATAAACAAATGTGACACCTCACTTTTCATTGACCACAAACCCGTCAAAATGGCTACAATTCTTGCTATGCTGACAACATCATTGTCTAAAAATGGAAATTTCCAGTCCTATTTACTACAGTGTTTCCAAAAACATGTAAGAAGAATATTTTTATTACTAAGCTATTAAGTTAGTAGGGCTTTGTATTACTTTGGCTTCAAAAGGGAAAAAGTGCAATAAGAGATGCTCATGTGGCATTTGTGAGGAACTCATTAAAGCAGCTACATCTTTCCCCTGGCCTCTGTAACCATTACATTGACCCGGTATGATTCAAAGCCAAAACAGTACTGTGATCATTAATAATGTATTAAATCAGATCTAAAACATGAGTATGTCTTCTCATTAAAATGAAATTAATATTATATAGCAATATAACTATGCAAATATATTATTATATAATAAAACAAAATAATTTAAAAAATAAACCTCACAGGAAAAAAGAATTACTTACCTATCTACCTTAAACTACCTAGTTATTTATGTACTAGTGCTAAGCATTAAAAAAAATTTTGCAATGTTCTTGAGGTTTAATAAAATTAATGCAATTGTGTTTTTTTTTAAAAAAATGAAACAAAATTGTCCACCTTTACTAATGATGCTACAGACACTATGTCCACAAAGGACTGTACTAAATAAAATCTATTATTCCATCCTACTTATATGGATACATCTGTACAAGGCTTTAAAAGCTCTGCATCAATGCTGTAAAGAACGGTACTTATTTGTGAACACTTTTAACATTTCATTTATTTATCTGGATTGTGCATCATTTTTAGGAACTCAAGGCACCGTACTTTCTCCTCCTATTTTCCTCCACAACAACCCTGTGAGTTACATTAGGCGGAGATAACACAAAATAACCTCTGGATGAAGGCCACCAACTTTAAAAACTACTTTATTAAATAAATGTTCAGTTCTGATGACAAGTCTAGATCTTCGTGCTGAAAACTGACCTGACATAATTTATGCTTTTTTCTGCCCTTGTTGGAACTTTTCTCGGAAGTTATTTTCTGAGGTTCTCTCGGATGCTTCTCGCACACATTTTTTCTCTCCGATTTTGATAGATCTGTCTCCCTGTAAGGCTTCCCTGGTATTCTGGTTAGGAGGCTCAAGTCAATCTTCACAATAAGGGGATATCTTTCATCAGGATCACTGAGCGGTGAAAGGAGTTCCTTCTCTTCCATAGGAGAGAACATTCGTTGCCGTAAAAAACTGTCATCCTCCTCTATGGAGGGTTTAACAGGAGTCCTATTGCTGTCAGAATATTTGGGGGTTTGTGACGAAGGAGGAAGGCTCTCATTCTCATCAGAATCAGAGGAGGAGGTATCTGTTTCAATGAATTCCTTGGATTTCTGGGCGGATTTGTTTGCCACCTTGCATTTCTTCTTCTCTGTGGTAGGCCGAGGGGACGGTTTAGGCTCCTTTTTTATATTTGGTTTCCTGGAGCCTTTGGTGGCTGCCTTATGTCTGTTAGAAGGTATGTTTGTTGCCATATCCAGGGGGGTTTCACTTTCTATTTTCAGGCCTCCTCTGGGCTCTTCTACCGACGGTTTCTCTGCTTTTTTGGGCTGTTTCTTGCCTACAGTCCTCCTTTGGATCGCACTGTCGCTTTGAGCAGGTGACTTCTGTCGACCACGATTGCTCTCTGATCCTTTCTGGCTACCTTTGGAATCTCTCCCGGGGGTGGAGGATATGGAATCCTTCGATCCACTTTGGTCTGCATATCCTCCCCCTGTGCTCTGATCTCTCCCCTCTTTTTTGTAACCTTGGGTTGATGGGATGTTACTGTCAATGGAAGACGCCGGGGATACTTTGTGTGGGTTCACCTTGTTTAGCCAGTTGTCAAGCTGCCACTTATTGGTTGGAGGCGGCTCAGGCTAAAGAAAGAAAAGAGGAAAACCCAAATGACAAAATTCTGCATGAATACAGCCTGGAAAAACAGGGATTATTTTGCTCACTTCTCCCCTATGGCACAAAGGCTGTGGCCGCATCCAAATTTGAAAAGAGGATCATCTAGAAATGAGAGGAGGGCTGCCACAGCTTGCTAGATTTCTCAACCAAGAGAACTGCATCCGAATTACAGAATTCACCTCACAATTCATATCATCTACCTGGAAGGAAGCACTGCTCTTTTCAAACAAGAAGATTCAGTGTTAACCAAAATGGCTGATACAGTAGTAAATGACTACAAATCAGCAGCACAATCCTCTCTTCTAAGAGAGCTGTTCCTAGGAGCTCAGCTAGCACAGAACAGAAGCTTCACTGTGCAATTTGGATATCTAGTTTCTTGTCAGAGTCAACCCTGACTAAAGGTAGTCCTCGACGTACGACCGCAATTGAGCCCAAAATTTCTGTTGCTAAGCGAGACAGTTCGGTGAGTTTTGCCCCATTTTACAACCTTTCTTGCCACAGTTGTTAAGTGAATCACTGCAGTTGCTAAGTTAGAAACAGGGCTGTAAAGTGAATCTGGCTTCCCCACTGACTGCTTGTGAGAAGGTCATAAAAGGGGATCACATGACCCCAGGACACTGCAATTGTCGTAAATATGCCAGTCAGTTGCCAAGCATCTGAATGTTGATCACGTGACCACGGGGCTGCTCAAATGGTTGTTAAGTGTAAAAACAGTCATAAGTCACTTTTTTTCAGTGCCATGGTAACTCTGAACAATCATTAAATGAGCTGTCGTAAGCTGAGGACTACCTATATTTGTTGTTTATTGTTTTAACATTTGCTTTGTTACTCATAATACATTTTTTTTTAGAATATAACATTTTCAGCAGCTTGGATATCCATTATAACCGTTAGCACATTTTAAACAAACAAGCAGCGAGGCAATCATTCTGAAGAATAGAAAAGGAAAAACATTTTTCCTTTCCTTCATTTTGGACTATCCCTGTGCCATAATACTTACAAGGAGGACATTTTTAAATCATCAAGGTGTGCGCATGTGCACACAACCATTTTACTCCATTCTCCCGCCAGAAGATACAACTGTTGTTTGATCAGATCAATGCCATCCGTATCCCACAACCTTATTTCCTTCTTTATAACTGTCAATGTAACATTTTGTACAGGCGGTACACTCGACCCCCGACCCATAACTGGAACCAGAATTTCCATGGCTAAACAAGGCGATTGTTAAGTGAGTCGTGCCTGATGTTATGATCTTTTCTGCCACATTTGCTAAGCGAATCACTGCCATTGTGAAGTGAATCGCATGGCTGTTAAATGAAATCAGCTTCCCTCATTGACTTTCCTTGTCAGAAGCCAACTGGGAAAGTCGCAAATGGTGATCACATGACCCCAAGGAGCTGCAACTGTCATAAATACACGTCAGTTGCCAAACACCCAAATTTTGATCATGTGACCGTAGAAATGCTGCGACGGTCATAAGTGCAGTCATAAGTCACATTTTTTTCAGAGCTGTGGTAACTTTGAACAAATTGTTTCAGAGAAGGACTACTTGTATCTTAAGTGTAGAGTTAATCAAGTCACCCACGAATTCCTGCCTTTGGTGTTTGTTGTGAATTTGGGGATTCCATTTCCACGAACCAGAAGAGCTCCTCTAGCTTTCTCAACATACAAATGTTAATTTACAGGGTTTAAGATTTGGCAACATTTAAAAGGTAATCAGAACAAATTGAATAATACATTTACTTCTGCAAACTTTGGAAATTTTGAGAGTAAATAAAAATCACCAGTAGCTTTTTTGGTTTTAAGCTAAATAGGCATCAGACAGCGTTTGCTGTTAGAAAGAAGGATGTTACACACCCTGAGCTAGGCAGGTTTTGATTGCAAAAAAGATGATCTGTATAAAGTAATTAATGGATTCTGTAAACCTGTAACATAAAGAATTATTGCTGTTTATTAAAGTACCTGAGGACAATTAATGTCATGATTGCCAGCCATAACACTATTTGAAAGGCAGAGGGGGAAAAAAATTACCTCAGGAGATGCACTTTGAGAAGGCTCATTTGCCTCGCTGTCACTGGAACTACTTTCACTTTCTGAGTCTGAACCGGAACTGCTTTCAGACCCACTATGGCTACTTGAGTCATCCCTAGAATTATCTGCTCCTTCACTTGTATGCTGGGAAGGTTCAGAATTACTAAAAGAGAAAAAAAAAGAATGAAGAACAAAGGCTGAGAGGTTTTAAAATCTTAAAATATTATTCATAGCTTGAAGAGCAAGTAACCAAACAACTATTTGCAGATAAAGTTCCACTGCCTCTTGTTTCAAACGCAATTCTCAAAAGTAGATTACATGCAACTACCATGCATATTATTTTACTGTAACTGCATACTGCCAGATACTATATCTACCTACCTTCCGGGTGTACCTCTTGGTACTGTCTTATCAAAATCCTGTAAGTAAAGAAAAAATGCGGATTAGCACTGACTAATCTGCTAATCTGTTACCATTATTATGGTAATAATAACTTTGTTAATGTATTACAACATGGATAAAGATGAATCATCTGTGTAAATGAAACTAAGGAAAACAATCTGAAATTAGATTGTCAACTCATAGTCTATATACTACTTCACACTTTGCATGAATAGATATATCATAGATTTGTTCATTTTTTCTCTCAAAATAACCCAGCTTTTCTTCCTATGACTGGTACCTGAAGTAAATACACTTATGTGTACAATCCCAGTGTTGGTTTTTAATTTTTAAAGTTTTACTTGAAATGAAATAAATGACAGAAAACAGTGTAATGTTTCTAATTGAGCTAATTCATCTGCCATGAAACCTCCTACTGACTTTCTTTTTGTAACACTTGATTGAACATTTTCTCCAGGTTTTTTATAGTGCCCATTATTTTTCACTAGTGATATAGTTTATTACATTTTTTTTTGTCCTGTCAGGTCTATGCAATGCTTTTGATTCTGTTAGGAAGAGGTCTTTTCCTAAGAGCCCAGGGGTATGAACACAGCACCTATTTGGGACCCACTAAAGCAGAGACATCTGTTTATATGATTGGGCAGGAAGTCTCCCTACAGCAAATCAATCTTTCTGGATAAGGACAAAGCTGTTTTAATGCACTAGACAGGGATTGAATTAATGCTCCCACGCTCACAACAGAACCTAAAGCACTGCACAGCCCTACTACTTCTAATTTATTCTTGAATTCAAGAGGGAAAGATTTTTAATAAATGCTTTAATCAGTACAGGTGGTCCTTGATTTACGACAACTGAGCCCAAAATTTCTGTTGGTAAGCAAGACACTTGTTAACTTTTATGACTTTTCTTGTCACAGTTATTAAGTGAATCACTGCAATTGATAAGTTAGTAACCTGGTTCTTAAATGAATCTGGCTTCCCCACTGACTTTGTCAAAAGGTTGCAGTTGGATCATGTGGCTCCAGGAACCTGCAACCGTCATAAATACGAATCAGTTGCTAAGCACCTGAATTTTGATCATGTGACCGTGGGGCTGCTGCAGTAGTCATAAGTTTGAAAAGTGGTCATAAGTCGCTTTTTTTCAATATGTTGTAACTTCAAGTTGTAAGTTGAGAACTACCTGTAGTGGACAACTTTCTCTGGCTAGAGGTGTACTTTACTATACAGGTAGCCCTGGGACAATAACGCTAAACAAAGTGACTTATGAACTGTCCTCAAAAGTTACAACTGACATACCACCCCTGCGATATGATCACAATTTGGATGCTTGGCAACTGGTTCACACATGACAGTTGCAGCACCCCATGGTCATGATTTGCAACCTTCCTCTGGCTTGCAGCATCCCAGGATCCTGGACTTGTCGTTTGCGACTTTCCGAGGGAGCTTCTGACAAGCAAAGTCAACGGGGTAGCCAGATTTGCTTGACAACCGCTTAATTCTCTTAAAAACAGTGGCAAAAAAGTTTGTAGATGGGGCACAACTCACTTAACACGGATTTGTTTAGCAATGGATATTTTAAGTGGTTGTAAGTCGAGGACGATCTGCCCACGTTTTCACCATGTCCAAGTTAAGACTACACTAATGCATTTTACATGTGATTGCCCTAGAACAGGGGTAGGCAACCTTGGCTCTTTTATGACTCATGGACTTCAACTCCCAGAATTCCTGAGCTAGCCAAGCTGGGAGTTGAAATCCACGAGTCATAAAAGAGCCAAGGTTGCCTACCCCTGCCCTAGAAGGTAACCCAAAGACCTGAATACCAACACAGAGGAGTGTAGTCCCATTTCAAAGATTTGCCACTAAGGACATGGCTGGGAAACCACATGGCAGCTTTTTCAAATGAGGCATGAAAGTGAGCCTGACAGCTTCACTATCTTTTTTTTTTTTTAATAAATAATGAATTTATTATTTAAGTAGGCTTTCCTAGAGCAAAGATTTCAATTGTGCTGCAATTTAAAACTGTGCTTTAAATTTGTTTTTATTTTTGTCTTGCCTTGGATTAATTTCATTTTTGTATTTATATTAAGTTATTTTGATTATGTCATAAGGCTGTTCAATTTGGGAGTAAAAAAGGCAGAACCAAAATTAATAGTAATAATAACCTGTTCACCATCACTGTCTTCACTGCTGCTGAGTTTCAAATCATTTATCAGAACACTAGGGAGAGGGAGGGAGAGAGAGATGGAAGAAACAATTTTGTTAAAAATATTATCAGATACACCATATCATGATAATGTCAATTTTCCTTTATTATTAAACTGAAATACTACTCCAAGAATGATAGTAAGGACTTACAATGCTACCAAAGCCCAATAGTTATTCTGAAAATGCAAGCATTAATTGTAAAAAATCATACCTCAAAAAACAACATGGAACTAGCATTAACAAAGTCCAAACTATGTTGCAATCATATCTAGATGCTGCAATATCTAACCAAAATTTAAAAATCAGTCAATATTAAACCATGAACAATTGATCAGAGACTGTAATAATTATTGTTTCAACTATTATAAGTTACTAGCATCACTGAGGCTATAGATAATAATTTTACAAACGATCCCAAGAAAAACTGATGCAGTAGATAGCAAGCTAAAACCTATTTTTAGATTTACAATGTAGGAACTGTTATAACTTTTTAACTGAATTAAAAGTTATTAACTCATATTTCATTTTTTCATGCCTTACTTTGAATATTCAAGACCTGGGTTTTGAATGCTTTACATATAACTAAATATGTAACAAATATTTTTTTTAAAAAAAAAATAAGACATTACATAAAATGAAAAACCATACCACGATAACAAACGTAATATCTTACTTTGTCTGGTTTGATTCACATCTGGAATAGAAGCAGAAATTGGGTTAAACATTTTCAAGCTAAAAGACTTCAAAGTAAAAATTAAACTTAAGACTGAGTGATATTTTATTTATATTCAGACTTGACTTTTACACATACAGCAGAAAAGACCCTAAAGGTAAAGAAATGGATTGTAACTACTGCAGACTGCATAGGAGATATATGAGTTTCAAACTTTTAATACAAGACACCAATTACCTGATTTACTCTCATAAATTCTATGTGGCATGGACAATCAGAAGCAGTATTTGGGAATGTTTCTAAATAATCTTAGGGATGAACAAGAGACGTTTGTCTCTACAAACAAGTAAGGTTTTAGTAGGACCCTGAAACCTGCTCACCATATTTATGTGGTAAGGGCTCTTCTGTTCAAGCTGGGGAAAAATGGAATCATCCCTGCAACTGCATTGCACTTACAGTAATGCTATAAGCTATAAAAACAACCCTGGAGAAGAAGTCTGAGATTGCCGTTTAAATGTTGAACCATAACGTATTCAAACTGTCTGTCTGTCCAGTTCGAAGTCTAGAGCAGGAATGTCAAACTCACGATGTCACGTCACGTCGCGCAACGTATTGGAGCTTTTTTGCCATTGCTGGCAATGGGGTGGGCGCGGCTCCAGTATGATGAGAACGGTCCGCGGGCCGGCAGTTTGACACCCCTGGTCTAGAGCAAAAATAGGAAACATTAGCTCTACAGTTGTTTGGATTGCCAAACCACTGGGAAGCCTCAACTGTAGAATGTCCTTGATCTCACACACAAATGCAGAGTAAGACAAGGAATAGGAGTAAGGAGGTATCAAGGGGCCTAAAAGGCTAGAAAATTCAATAAGACTAGTAAGGCCAATAACTCAAAACAGATGGCAACATCTGATTGATTTAGTCTGGACTTGGAAGCTAAGAAAGGATGGACCTGGATAGTACTTAAGTGGTAGACTCCCAGCAAACATCAGGGCAATAGGCTGGACTGGAAATCAAAAACATCCTATTCCAAACATTTCTATATTGCTGCCAAGTAAACCTGACATATCTTTACAATAAAAACAATTATTAAATAAAATAAAAATGATGGAAACCTAGGCCCACAGTCATTTCCTATTCTCTAGGACAGACTCTCAGGTATCTTGAAGAGGTATTTGTATAAAATACGACCAGGGCTAATTGGTTTATATTCACTCAGAATTATAGCCATACTTACGACTTAGACTGGTGGCCATTAGATGTTTTCAGTGAAGGATTGTATCTTTCTGAGCAGAAGAAAATATAATGGCTTAAAAATGAACTCTGAAAACACATGCGCTAAACCAAATTATATCTTTACAGACTATAATGGCTCAGATTGATGTTGCAAGATTGGACAAGTTTATTATTTCAGAAAAAAAAACTGTGTAAATGGATGGTCTGCTTATTTCAGACCACGGAAAGCGAGTGCTGCTTCAGGGAGAATGAAGGGACACTTTTGTAACAACCATCATTTGTTCAGGATTTCACTATAAGCAAAATACAGTACAGGTAGTCCTCGACTTACAACAGTCATTTAGTGACCGTTCAAAGTTACGACGTCACTGAAAAAAGTGACGTATGACCGTTTTTCACACTTGTGACCACTGTAGCATCCCTAAGGTCACAGGATCAAAATTCAAATGCTTGGCTGCTGAACTCATATTTATGACAATTGCAGTGTCCAGAGGTCATGTGATCACTTTCTGCAACCTTTTTACAAGTAAAGTCAACAGGGAAACCGGTTTCACTTAACAACCATTTACTAATTTACCGACTACAGTGATTCACTTAACAACTGTGGCAATAAAAGTCATAAAATGGGGCAAAACTCACTTAACAAATGTTTCACTTAGTAACGGAAATTTGGGGCTCAATTGTAGTCGTAAGTTGAGGACTACCTGTACACTGTGTTAGCTCACTGTATTAGCAAAATGTTAGATACAGGGCAAATATGGCATGGAGGAGAACCTGATGAGGAACAAAGAAAGAAGTCAAGATGTTTGCGAGCCCTAACACTCAACAGCACACCTATATACGTGAAGTAGATCAGTCATCAAAGTTATAGAAGAACAGTTTGATATTTCAAACTGCATGCAGCAATACTAGTCAGAATGCTATTTTTGACAACAATCATTTTTTTAAAAGAAATTTGTTTTAAAATTGGAATCACTCCAATGGCAAAAACTAAAAGAACAGGAAAATTATCTCACAAAGGTCTAGCATAGATGTCGCCTGCTTTCAATTCTGTCTCAGTTAGAGAAGCAAGAAGACAGCTCTGCTGGTGCTTATTTGTGGATATTATAGGATTCATGAATCACTTCTGTAGCTTCAAATATCTATCAGACCCAAAACATATCATGAAAAAATCTCAAATTTAGCTATAGAGCAAATGTAAGGAAATACAAAATTAATCGTAAAATGTCAAATGTTCTAATCTTATGTCCCATTAAACAAGCAGGTATACAACCATGACTGGAAGAATGCACGAGCAACGTGATTCAGTTCTTTCACCCAATGAAAAGTCCCACTAGATCAGTGTTAAAATGTTTATTTATATAAAAAAAAAGCCTTCCAGAGGAAATCTGAATTTAAAACATCAAAATTCAATACAATGTACTTACTTTGATCCCCAGTGCCCAAGTTAGATTGCTGAGTTTCCTGTAATAAACAGAAAAAGTTCGGCTATCAACAGAATATATTAAGAGGAAAAGCTTAAGCTACCAAATATCGCGCACCTTTTACATTTGGCAGTCCTGTGTGTAAATTTAAGTAAACATAAATGCAAATTTTGCATATGAAAAAGTACAGGTAATCCTTGACTTACAGTGGCACTTAAAACCAGAATTTCTGATGCTAAACCCAATCCTTGCAGTCTTGATTGCCATTATTAACCAAAGCCCAAGGTTGTTAGGCAAGGCAACTTCTTGCTGGCTTCCCACAATCAAAGTCAGTGAAGAAGCTGACAGGAAGTTGCAAGTTCCATGCCAGTGAGCAGGTAAGTGGCTGCTGCCAGGTAGGGGTAGGGGTAGAGTGCGCAAGGATATATGTGAGAGGCCTGCATGGGTCAGGATGGGTGTGTAAGAGCTGTATCATGAGTTGTAGAAGGTGTGCAGGGAAGCAGGTTGGCGAATGTTTGGTGTGGATTGGGGAGCGTGCACGCTGGGGAGAGTGGGTGAGGATGCAACGTATGTCAGAGAAGGGTGCAAGCGGCCAACATGAGCACAAAAGGGCTGGGGGGAGGGGGAGGGGAGGAAGACTTACCTCAGTGATTTGTGACCTTCCCTGTTGGCTTCCCCATTGACTTTCTGGGGAAGCCAGCAAGGAAGGTTGCAAATGGCAATCACATGATCACAGAATGCTGTAACCGCTCATAAGTGTGAACCAGTTGCCAAGTGTTTAGATTTCAGTCACAGGATCATGGGAATGCTGGGATGGGGGGAACTCCACGAACTGATGGTAACCACCATTTGTTCAGCACCCTCATAAATTTGAACAGTTGCTAACCAACTGATCGTAAGTCAAGGATAATAATAATAATAATAATAATAATAATAATAATAATAACAACAACAACAACAACAACAACAACAATAATAAAAAGTTGGAAGGGTCCTTGGAGGTCATCAAGTCCAACCCCCTGCTCAGGGAGGTAACCCTATACCAGGTGTAGGCAACCTTGGCTCTTTTATGACTCGTGGGCTGGCTCAGGAATTCTGGGAGTTGAAGTCCACGAGTCATAAAAGAGCCAAGGTTGCCTACCCCTGCCCTATACCATTTCAGACAAATGGCTGTCCTTAAAATACAGCCCTGCATTTATCACCACCTCAAATATCAAAATTAGGATCAGATGCAGATGATTACAGCATTTTTAGAGGAGATCTGAGAGAAACCTGCTTTATTTAAATTTTAGCTATTTAGTTTGATTTTTCCTTTTTTATTGATATGTGTGGTATCATCATGCCTACGTCAAACAAACTCTCTGAGGTCTTCAGAAAGAAGGTTAGAGATGACAATGAGTTTGAAGTGATTTAAAAAGATTGCCAAACAACTGGACATAAATCATTCTACTATCCAGAAGGTCATCTACAAATGGGGAAAATTTCAAACAACTGCCAACTTGCTCTGGGCAGGCTATTCCAGCGCATCAACTTCAAGAGCAGCTTGCAAGATGCTGAAAGAAATCTCTAAAAATTCCAGAATTCCATCCATGACTTATAAGTAACTCTAACTCCTATTGATGTCAAAGTGCACGAGTCTAGCTTTAGAAAGAATCTATACAAGTTAAATCTTTGCTGCCCAGAAAGAACATCAGGGCAAGGGTAAAGTTCGCTCACCAACAACAAAGACAAAAACAGGACTTTTGAAAGAATGTGCTCTAGAGCAGGGGTGTCAAACTGCCGGCCTGCAGGCTGGATGCGTCACGAGAAAACCGTGCCCACCCCATTGCCGGCAATGGGGAAAAAGTTCCGATACGTTGCACGATGTCACATGACGTCGCGAGTTTGACATGTCTGCTCTAGACAGAAGAGGCAAAGATACGAGATTTTGGTCACAATAACAGAAAACATGTTGGTAAAAACCAAAGACAGTATTTCATCAGAAGAACCTGATAACCAACTATAAAGCAGGATAGGGGAAATGTAATGGTTTAGTACATGTCTGTTAGAAATCTAGCACTGCACCATTTACACTGGATTTTTTTATAGTACTAATAAGACTCTTTGAAGGCAATGAAATGTCATGTTAGAAAACGGCACAACTCAAGCTTCCAGACAGGACTCCAGTTATGAATAATTGATATGATTTAATGTGTAGATTATATTAAAAAGATGTTTAACTACAGGTGAAATAATAGTATAAAACGACATTAACATCAAAACAAGTACACAAGAAAGAGAAATTTCAAGGCCACAAAATAAGCAAAGTGTTGAATTGAAATAAAGAGATTCTGAAAACCATGCTTCAGAAAAGATTGTTTCCTCATCCCAGACTTATTTGACTTCTAACAACAGTTACTGTAATATTTATAGCATTATTCATTTACCTTTGTTGGGAACGGAAACTTTGAAGGTTCAGTTTTGCAGGGTGTGTGTATTGCAGTAAGTGGCGGTGGCCAAATATGGGTCATCTCCTATTGTGAATGGAAACCCAAAACATTAAAAAAAATCATTCTGCTTCAATACAATACAATTTAACCATATACCTGCAGAACACTATTCAGTGTCACTTGGCTGGCACTAACAATTTGTTTAGTAATTTTAAAATAATCAAGCATTATGTGAATTGCCTTTGAACTATTTTAATGAAGATTACCTTTGTCTTGTGTGTTCTTTTTCAACTGGAATTAGTATTTTTAGGTATAACTTAATGGCGCTAATATATCAGTGGGCTCATAAATGATAATATGAACTCTGCTCATAAGAACCCTTAAGACATGCAGTGTTACTGTTTCTTTACCAGCTGCCAAAATGCTCATTCAGGACCTAGAACTGACCTTTTCAGGATAAAGGAGAATTAATTAACATCATTAATATCTGTCCAATGAAATGCTTCTTGTGAATTTGGCTCTCTACTTTTATCTTAATATATGAATATGCTTTTCTTTCATAATTTTTAAAATTATACCTGAAACTTAAATAACTTTTAAGTAGTTTTTAAATAATTAAGCAAGTAAACAATAGCCAATGTAAACATATAACTTACTTTTAGAATCTCATCCACACTGTTCATATCACCAGATGCTGAAGCCTATAAATCAATATTGAAAATTTCACTAACTACATGTCAACATCTCCAAAACTTACAACACTATCTAAAATGTCTTAACGTTTTCACACAGTATAGTCTTTCACTTACAACTATTTGCTTATTGACTGTTCGACATTACAACAGCGCTGAAAAAAAGTCACTTCTGACTGTTCCCCATATTTATGACTGTCACCGCATCCCACAGTCATGTGATTAAAATTTAGGTGCTTGGCAACTGGGCACATATTTATAATGGCTGCAGTTTTGGGGCCATGTGGCATTTGCCACCTTCCCAACTGGCTACTAAAAAGCAAGGTCAATGGGGGAAGCCAGATTCACTTCATAATCGCACAATTCACTTAACAACTGCAGTGATTCACTTAACAACTGTGGGGAAAAAGGTCATAAAATCAGGCAGAATCGATTTAACAACTGCTGGTCGTAAGTCAAGGACTACTTGTAAAGAGCTATTGTTTTTGTGGGTTATAATGTATATAAATCTTATAAAGCAGTTAGGTCTTCAACTCAATTAGGTACTTTCATCTAAGAACTGTGATCCTCCCCCAAGCATTAGAAATCTCACTCAAATTCACAATGGGCTGAATAAAGCCCACAGACATCTGCAGCTTTTACCAAACTATAATTCTTAATAAAAAGTAAGAGGCAAATGGTTAAATATATGAGCTCTCGTGTCATCCCTGCCCCTTGTCTTTTGGAATGATGCTTTTAGATCCAGAATGAAAAGCAAGTACTTTTAATTCATTGAAAAAAGATTCTTTAATATGAAAATGTGCATGCTGTATTGTATAATTGAAAACAAGAATCATTTAATTTAAATGCATAGTATACTAAAAACTAATGATACCAGTTTTTCTGGGAGATTATCACTCCACACAGGAGCTGGAACAAAAATGTAAACTGTATTTTTTAATCATTCATCATATATGATACAGTCTTTTTATTTTAAATATAGAAGGTAGACACAGAATTTGGATCTGCTAGAATTTGGATTCAACTCACAGAACTAATGAATTAGGATTAAGCCTTAGAATTTAGCTCATTTAACATACCGAGGTTGCCAAAATTAGCTGTTTGCATTTCAAATTATCAGAACCAAATATCAACACAACAAAAACACTGCTATGTACTACTAGCTGACTAGTGCCTCAATGCTAAATTAAAAATAATATGCAAGACTGATGATCAGAATTAATATGCTAACAGTGATGGATTTGTTTTTACTTTTTATTATTTTAGTTTATTTAATGGACTTTATCTGAAAATGTGCATGCTGTACTTTCTTAGCAACTTTTTTAATGCTAGTTTATATTTACAGAACATCAGAGGTAACCATGGTTCTGACTCATTTTAAAAAGACAACTTACATCAAGTGGTTGAGAAGGAATTTTCAGCTTTGTTAGATGTACTTTGCTACTAGGTTTCAGTTCATTCATATTGTTGCTATGAGTCTGGCTACTGTAAGGTTCAGAAGATAACTTTGGTTCCATTGATTCCTGACCATCCATAGGTCTTACATAGGCAGTAGGCTTCTGCAACATTGTACTTGACTTTGACATAAGTGAAGGAGGAAACGACTGGCTACCACTAGAAAAAGACGGTACACGGGAAGGTGAGTCCCAATTGGCATCTGGGTCTCGTGGAGATTTGGATCGCTGATGTTCTTTACCGTGATGATCATTTCCATGAGATCTGGAATGGCTGGAGTTCAGAGAAGAAACAACAGATGTTTTTCCAGGACTGGAAGAATGGGATTTTGAATGTTCTGATCCATGCTGGGTTTTTTTACGGCTACTGCTGCTTCCACCACTGCTATATGAGTCACGATCATGCCTCTGTCCGCTATTGCTAGTGCTGTTGCCACTGTTGCGTTGACTACTATGTCCACCCTGTAAACCTGAGGATCGTTTCTGTGACTGGGAAGAAGTGCTAGGAGCTGGACCTACAGGCGTCCATTTGCTGCTCTGATGAGAGCCAGTACTGTGTCTCTGATCACCAAAGAAACTTTGGTTTGATTTGTCATCTGTTGCTGATGGAACTGTCGGTTTGGGAATTCTAACAAGTTTTTGGAGAGACTGATCACCTATAAGATCCGTCATTTCATCATAGTTTCCAAGCATGCTTTGGATACGGCTAGACAATTTATCTTCTTTGCTGGTCTGTAAGAAGAATGAATAAAATGAATAAAAAAAAGATGCATAATGTTACGGCATTAAAATATATAGTAATCGTTTAAATTTTATATCAGATGAATTACTAAATGGTAATACACATTTGAAAATTATCTCTATAATCCTTTTCAGCAGCCATCGGCATTTAAAGCAAAGTTATTTGAAAACCAATCCACCTGCCCAGAAAAAAATACGTAATTATTACCCAAAAATAACACCAAAATTCCTTTCATTTTTAAACTACACTTGTTGTCTGAAAAAGCTGGGTTCCTACCATGTGTGCCATACCTAGTGAAACACACATGGGGGTGGAGATTGCAAAGACTTTATTCTGTGCACAAAAAAAAAGGACACGGGGCATCACTCTGTAGGCCTATGTAAAGGCTATTCCTTCAATAGTACAGTTGTTATAGTTATTTCTTCATAAACCCACCTTATGCCCACCCCTTTTAGGTCATCTTATCCATGTTACCTGAGTTCAGCCAATATTGCTTAGCTAGCATCAGCATTATCTAGCAGCAATCAGCACTTTTGTCCCTAATTTCCAGTGACAATTAGCACATTATATCATAATTAATACATTTCCCCAACTTCTTCTTTTCCCAAGCCAATTGCCTTGTCCTATGATATGTTTGGGGTTTCATTTGAGCAAGCATTCTTTTGTAAGCATTCTTGACCATCCTTGCAGGTTACTAAGTATCAAGTCTTATATGCTTCTAAATTTTAGCTTCTTAATATAAGGATATTAGGGGAGGGGTCTTTTAGCCTTTCCATGACACTCACTGCAAACAGAGCTTTGTATTTTCAGCGATTAACTGGAAGTGATATAATTTTGAAAGACAGATTGCAAGTAAAACTGAAAGCAAAAAGTTTCTGGATGTGTGGGCCCTGAAAAACCAGCAAAGAAAGAGCTCTCTTCACTATGCATATTATTTGGAAACTATAATTTTCATCAAACTTGAGTATGCGTATCAAAATAATTTTATTTCTGTAATAAAACTATTCAACATTTTGAACTCTTATATCAAAAGTACACCAACTTTTCTAGCTTTTTTAAATACGGTTTTTGTAAACATGCCTTTCTTTTAGGAAACTAAAAAAAAATCATTTCAATCTCACCGCCCTTACAGGACTCACCGCCCTGAGTCCCGTAAGGGAGATAGGGCGGTATATAAATTCAATAAATAATAATAATAATCTTGCAATATAAATTTAAGGCAGAAAACTGAAACCCTATTTTTAAAGAAGCTGATAATCTGCCCTCCTAGCGGAACTGTCACTTATAACATATAAAGATCTTTGTTCACAGTGTTGACTGACTGACTAAGCAAAAGTACAGATGAGGAAATCTCGCTTTCTAGAGATCTGTATCTCTCTTCTTTGAAATCAAGGCATGGCACAAACCATATAAGGCAAAAGAGGAGAACGTTCTCAACACCGAAGGGTTACTTCCCAACAATCTTGTGGGCCTCCCAGTACTGCTATACATTCAGACCTATGTTTCTGGATGGGTTTATACAATGATGGTGAAAATGGGAAGACATAGCATTCCAATTTCAACCCTGAAAGCCAAAAAAAAAGTTTTAAAAACATGCTGAATTTGTGCCACAGTTTCAATCATGTGGGGGAGTCAGAGGTTTTAAAAATGGGAATGGAATGGAACATTCCACTTCCCATGATGCCATTTCCATTCCTGTTTGAAGGGGAAAAAATTAATGGTAAACCGTGTCACTAAAATTTGACCATTTTGTAATGCAATGTTGGAAATTGGAATACCAGGCTGTAGATTAATATAGATCTCATAAAGAGAATGGAAAAAACAACAAATTGTCAATTTTTGCATAAAACATCGTATTGTCCCAAAGGTGCTTTTTTAAGAGGCAACTGGACTTTGTTTTTTCTTTGAAAACGTTTCGCTTCTTATCCAAGAAGCTTCTTCAATTCTGACTGGGTGGTGGGAATGGAAGGATTTATATTCCTTGCAGACAGCTGGTCATTTGCATTATTTTAGAGAGTTGTTGAGGCAACCTGGAGGTTTATCTGTGTCACCTCAGGGTCACCTGAGTAGTGAAAATGGGTGTGGAGCCTTCTTGGAACTGCAGAAAGGACTGTGTTGTAGACTGGACATAGATGATGTCGTATCCCTCCCCCTCTGTTGAGGGCTGTTCAATTTTGACATAGATGGCCTCTTTGACCCCTCTTTCAAACCAGCGGTCCTCTCTGTCCAAAATGTGGACTTTGCAAGTGGGCAAACTTTTCCTTCCTACTGCTTTATTATTTCCCTCTATCTTTTAAAAATAACATTTAAATACTATTTAATATTGAAATACAAATAGTACCTTTAAATAAGGGGACAAGGAAAACAATAACATATTCTCTACTCCCCTCTTTCAGTCTTAAAGAAAATGAAAGTACAAATGAAAATAACAGTTTATGCTTAAATAATGTATGCTCTCATGATCAGGAAAATAATTCAATTCAAGCATGTTTTGCAGCATCAAAGTGAATCTCTTATTACAAACTCTAAAAATATCAAGTCCTAACAATTACCTGTCATCTATAGAAAACATTCTCCACAAATCTCAGTAATGCTACTGTCGTGAATCACTCTTTTGCTATAAGGCAAAAATACATTGTAACAATTATCTCTACAAGTACTTTTAACCATAATTCTATTCTATCAATTCAGAGTTAGATAGTTCGGGGGTCAAGTGGTTTGAGCTGTCAGTGCTGGGATATTAATAAAAGAATGGTGATAATGAACATGCCTGTATTATTCCTAACAATTTTAACATTTCATTAATAGGTCTATCAACATCAAGTTTTTTAAAAAATAATGTAAGTTTATAAAACATCTTTTTTCCTCTGTATTTGCATCTAGGGTGTGAGGGTCAAACTCTTATTTTCATGTTCCAGAATACTGATTATATTACAGTATACACTACATTTTCTTAGAAAGTTCATCACAGTACTCAATTTACAGAAAAAATATTATCTGTGGTATGATCATTAAGAAAAATAACAAACCTCATGCACTTACAACTTTATATGGTTCAGCAAAAAGAGGAGAATTAGGTGGGAAGGCTTCTTCACCCTGTTGAATTTCTTGATTACGCCTCTCTCTTTCTTTGATACGCAGCGCATTCCGATCTTCACGGTTCATGTTGCTATAAAGGAAAACAATGTAATTATATGACAGGATACAGAAAGTAAGTGATTTTTACACCATGACAGTATATAGCAGTGGTTCTCAACCTTTTTAATGCCGTGACCCCCAACCGGTCGTAAGTCGAGGACTAAACCGGTCGTAAGTCGAGGACTACCCAACCGGTCATAAGTCGAGGACTTTCCCTGCCCGGGAGCGCCACACATGCGTGGTTCCGCCCCCTGCGCCTGCCGAGGCGTAGCTGGCAAGCAGCATAGACGGAGCAGGCCGACCACCAGCTGGCCCAGCTCAAGGGAGGTAAGGCACCCGCCGGAAAAGGGGGGAAAAATGGCGGACAGCCTTGCTTGGCGACCCCCATGAAATGGTCAATCGACCCCAAATGGGGTCGCGACCCATAGGTTGAGAACCGCTGGTCTATAGCTTTGCTCCCTCTTTACAAAAAATATTCTAATGCACATTTTTTTAAAAATTAAAAGTGCCTACACACCAGAAATTGTCTTATGCATAAATACTGACAAAAACCTAGCCATTTACTTTCATATTAAAAAGTTATGCTGCATTCTTTAAATAAACTATTAAATGTATTGTCTTATTTTTTTTAAATTACAGTGTTACCTCGGTACTCGAATTCTTTGAAACTCATTGAATTTGGTACTCGATGCATTTTGACGCAAAATTTTTGTCCTGGTACTCGTCGTTTGTTGGGTACTCGACCCACAAGTTAGAACTTTTCGGTGTCAACTGCCTCGTGACTTGCTACCCTTTCTGGCTGAAACAAAGGGTCAGGGGTTAGTCATGTGGTTTATTTGATACTCGTCATTTTTAGTACTCGTTGCGCCTCCCAGAACCAATTAATGATGAGGTACTGAGATACCACTGTAATTTTTATTGCTTTTTGATTAACAAAACATAAGAATGATAACCATACATTGTCAAAAAAGATACATAAAAATGTTCTAACAAAAAGTGAAAAAAATATGACACACACATCATTATAACAATTATATACATACTTATCTAATCAAATATGCAAATGTTTCTAATATATTTATACAACTATTTTAACCTACTGTACTCTGTATAAATGAGTCCCATATTTCATTATGCTTGTCCATACAGAGCCTACATTCATAGGCAATCCACTCATGGATGGCATGTGCAATCAGGTCTTCAATTCATTGAAAGAAAGGGGCATGAATTCATATTTTCAATGCTGCAATATCAGTATTTTGATCATAGTAAAGACACAAAGAATCCACTGACACTGTCCAGTTATCAACTTCCATGTACTAGGCGTGCAGCTTAAGGAAGTAATATCCTCTGAGAGTTTTTGCTTTTGTTGCACAATCATACTTTCTCCCAAATCTTAGGAAATGAAATCATTGTAAAAACATGTGTTTTAAAGAAGCATTATCCTTATTACACTTCCAACAAAATTCTGGTTTTGACAGTCATTTTCTATACAAACATAATGGAATCCAAACAATTCTAAATATTAGTTTTGTTGTATAGGTAAATGTATTGTCTAAGTTACCATTTAAAAACATTTTCTTATTAATTGAGGACTTTTTAATAAAGTACAGGTAGTCCCTGGCTTATGTCCATTTATTTAGTGACCTTTCAAACTTGTGACAATGCTGATCAATGGCACTTATGGCTAATCCTCAAGAGTTCCAACTGTTGCAGTGTCTCCATGTTCATAATTTACAACTTCCCTGTTGGCTTCCCAGAAGCAAAGTCAATGGAGAAGCCATCAGGAAGTCAGAAGTCACAATCACATAAGGTCCTTTCTTAATGATGACATTTGGGAGAGCCCAAACTGCTGCTGCTAAGCAGCAAGATCATATGATATTGTGCTCTATGACTGTATCATTTAGTGATGGCAATTCCAGTCCCAATTGCTGTGATAAAGACTGCCTGTATTTTATTCAAAATTCTTACCAGCAAAAGCTATGTTCCTTCATTCTTACATGCAAAACCTGCAATCCTCTCTCTGTGTTCAGAATCTTCTTAGAATGCTCCACAGAATGTCTCTACTTTACTCTTCATACGCTCTCTAAAAAGGATTTGTTTGTACTCTAAATCCAAATTTTAGTAAATATCCCCAAAGCTATAGCATCCTGTAAAACACCTAACTTTCTCACAAAATAAAAAGCTACTAATTATTCTGGGTTAAGAACCTATCTTTACATAAAGTTTATCAATAGTCAGATGTTCAGTTTTGAACTCAATCTCATGTACTGTCAACTAGCTTCTGACGAAATAAATTTTACTCTGAATATATGATATACCGTAGGTATTTCCTTTGATAATGTAAGAAATTCTGTTTGAAATGTTAGCTCTTCTTTGGTTTGTAACAACCAGAAACTGCATTTTATCCAAAACAATCCAAGTAGTACTGTGTTTATTTATAAGATTATGTATTTGCAAAATAAGATCACTCAAACTTCAATGTTTATATTAAACAATACATAAAATGTGACTAGGAGGCATGATGCTTAATACTTCAATTAACATTATGTAGGCAAAAGGCTAATAGCTAGGTACAAAACAACTATATTCATCTAAAACAAATATAGAAACAAAAATATGTGAGAGGGATATTAAAATTCCCTTGGGTAATCAAATATATTTGAAGAGAAAAGAATAAATATCAAACAGGCTCATTTTCCAAATTGTTAAAAATAAAGTTAGACTCATTTGTTTTAACCATCATTAGCCACTAAAGCTCAGAGAATATACAGTATAGGTAGTCCTTGATTTGCAATTGATCACTTAATAACTAGTTGAAGTTATGATGGATCTCCCCAGAGCTACTTACGATCAGTTTTCAAAGTTACGACAGCTGCACCAACACTCCATAGTCATGTGATCACAGGCACTTGGCAATTTGTTCACCTTTACAACTGTTTGACTGCGATTTGCAGCTTTCTTGTTGGCTTCTGGCGTTTGCTTTCGGTTTCAGGGGGAAAATGCCCACTGGAGAAAATGAATTTGCTTAACAACTGCAGCGTTCACTTATCAACAACCACCATATTCACTTAATGATCACCGCAAGAAATGTCAAAAATTGGATACAGTCAAGTGATGCCTCAACTAATGACTGCCATGACTTATATCTGCAATTCAAGGCTCAGTTATGGTTATAAGTTGGGACTGACACTACTTGCATCGAAAAAGTGAGCTTATTTTAAAATTTAAAATAACACAATCCTTCAGGAGATAGTTCTAACATGATGAAAAAAATTAAGACATTTTTAGAGAGACTTTTAAAGATTAATAATGTTAGTTTCAATTGTTTTTATTTCTACCCTTTTAACTAACTGGAGTTTTCTATGGGATATAAAAATACAAAGAAGTAATAGCTCTTAGCAGTTGCTGCCAGTGAGCAAGAGATGACACAATTTTACTCCTACTTGCCAATGTTTAGTTATGAATGATAAATAAGCTTCTATGCTACTATAAATAACTAGCTCTTTTCATTTAGGATGGCCAGCTCCCAAATTGCTGATTTTAGAGCAGGTTTAATAAAGTATTTATGTGTACCATATAAATCACGTACTGTAATGTAGAAAGTATGTCTCAAAGGTATGAAAAAAATAAACATGTAACATTTTTATTAGATTCTTAATTACAGTCATAGACCAGCTCAAAAACAAACAAACAAACAAATCCCAGAAAACAAAATTGTGAGACAGCAAGAAAAACTATAGTAAAACTCAATTATAGAATTTGTGTGCTCAAGGTTTGACACATGAACCTTAACCATGTTATGAGAAATAAAATCACATTAGCAATAACAATTATAGATAAAATGGATCTGGGTGGTTTGAACATTCAAGTTGATGGAATGTTATTAGCTGCAACCAGGCATCTTTGTAATAGAAGCAATATAGCAGAACCTGCATTAATATTCAGGAACTGCATTATAGGGGCAAAGTCTGTATTCAAGTGTGCTACCACATAATTTCCCCCATGAACATCTGTTTGGAGGACATTAAAACCTGACAGGATAGGAACCTTCTGACTTTGGGAATTATTACTTGGCTTAGGGAAGCTTGGAGGAAAAAGTGAATGACTGCCTATGAACATATCTCTGGGTGTGATACATTGTCCAAGTCCTTGGTGTGCTGTTTAAAGATTGCCTCTGCCTACTGATATCCCATTATCAGGATTGTACTACACCGCAGTTGTTCAACTTCTAATGCAATGTCCTTACCACAAGATAAAAATGAAGTTATCACTTAAAATTAGGGTGTTAACCTCATGGTGGAACAAAAGTAACTTTAACCAATAAGAGAATATGCAAATTAAATGTGGGTTTTAATTTTGTTGAAGCCTAGCTCATGGCACAACACTACATTAGCAACTTGTTGTGGGGCTTGAAATATGTTCCTTAAGAGTTTAGAGTGACTGTGAAGTGTGAAGCATTGTATGGTTCCATTTGGGCTCTAAACAAAGATTATGCCCATTTTCTGGCTGAGAATACTTTTAGTGAAGCAAATATGAACAATGCATCTCTAATGTAATAATAATGTAATAATTGTAATAAAAAGATTGCTGGGTTGTTGCTGACTGTTACTGTGCATTTTGGACAATATCCTTTATATGTGCATTGCATTTACTAGATGCATGAAACTTTACCTTTATGTACTTGGGAGATTTGATCAGGTGTTTATTCAATTGCTGGGAATGAATTTAGGCATTAATACTTTAGTTTTAGCATAATTGATTTTGAGTGCTACTATACTATGCTACATTATGTACAGCTAGAGCCCATAAAGCTTGCTTTAGACCAACTGGTGTCTGAAATAACAGCATAGCATCATCAGTATATAAGAGGATTGTAATATGACTGTCCTTCCATTTAGACAGATGATGAGCTAGATTATTTATCTTAACTACAAGAGGATTGATATACAGATTAAACAGTAATTGTGCCAAGATACATCTTTGTGTGATTGCTCTGCTGACAGCAATTTCCTAGTGTAATGGTCCCGCATACTGTTTCTAACTTTTAAACTGAAATTCTCAGGAAGCTCATATAGAAACAGGAGCAGGTGTCTATCTGCAGTAGAGTTCTTAGGTCTACGACATAACTTATGTCTAGGGATAAGTTCAAAAATGAACCTGAAAAGCTGCACATAAGCTTGGATAACATTATCTGAATTATTTCCCATAATCTCTGAAAACTAAGGGGATATATCTGCCTAGGCATGTCACCAATTTTTTCTCATCATAGTCTCTGAGATTCACACAAATTCTTTTACTTGGAAGAGAGTCTAGTCAAAAATAACTAAATTGAGGCTAGTCCTTACAAAAAGTTGTATCTCTCTAGCAGCGCACTTGAAATAAAGTGCTGAATGAATGTGAGGGTAGAGGCTGTTTAGTGGCTCAGCTAAGATCCTGTAGACCAGGGGTAGGCAATCCAAAACACTCAAGAGCCACTTGGACCCGTTTCCCACCGAAAACAAAACACTGGGAGCCGCAAAACCTTTTTGATATCTAAAATGAAGGTAACACTGCATATATCCTTTTTTACCTGTTTTACCTACATACACATACACACATACATACATACACACATACATACATATATACACATATATATACATACACACACATACATACACATATATGTGTGTGTATCATAAAGGTAAAAAAGGATATATGCAGTGTTATCTTCATTTTAGATGTCAAAAAGGTCTCTCTCTTTCTCCCTCTCTCCCTCCCTCTC